ATATCAATTTTATAGTATATAAATATATTTATATATTTACTTTGAAATATAATTTTTCTATATTTATTTGTATACATAAATAAGTAGCAATAACAAATTCATTCCAACCTTTAATATAACTATAAATTTATTTTATAAATTAGAATTCAAATTGAATAAATAATTAAAATATTTATTATAAATATTTAAATTTATATCTATCAGGTAATTTAGATTTTAGCAAAGGTATTGAATACAAAGTAATTTAATTTACCTATTCTTTAGCTTTATATCTAGCATTATATTTAAATATATTTCTAGGTGGTCTTTCAAATCTAAAAGCATATTTTTTCTGTTATTTTGCATTATTATGCCAATTTCTTTCTATGAAGATTTTGATAAGATGAAAGGCATAGAAATATTTTGATTATCTTTAAAAAATCGACTTACTTATAATTTAATATATGTGGTACAATATTTTTAAAAATAGATGTATAATATCTATTAGAAATGATCTAAAAAATTTAAAAAATTAATTTAAAATGAATACTTTTTCCTTTTATTTCTACAAAGTAAATAAATAATTTAATTATAAAATAAAATATATAAGAATTTGTAATCATGTAACTTCTATTTCATTAATATGTAAAAGCCAATTTGTATAGTTTTTTTTAGTATATTTAACTTTAGAATTTTATAAGAACTGAAATATCACTAGTTTATGCAAGAATATATGCATTGTTAGCGTTGAAAATTTACCTTAGAAAAATGATTTACAAAGCCATTAGATTTAATTTTATGTAGATCATATTAAAGAAAATCTTGATTGATGTATTGTATTGGAAAATCATTTAATTTGGAGGATTTACAAAATTCACCTAATTTGCCTGTTTCCTTGTATTTTCTAAACAGTCTGTTTATTCTGTTTACTCTATTTCGTCTGTAATTTCTTTAACATTATAATTTATATTATTTTTATTATTTTATTGTATTTAAGTATATTTTTATTAAAACATATATCTATATTTAGTTAATTTATAACGTAACAAGTAGCTAACCATAGCAAAATCATTTTGTATAGATAGAATAGCTTTTTACTTAAGTTGTAAATTAACTCAGTTGTAAGTTTATAAACTCTTCTACGAGTTTCAAGTTATAAATAAAGGAATCAATTTAAATCTATACAAACTACTTTTCTCTTTAACATTGTCCTTTACCTAGGATTATTGTGATATACTACACTAACTTGCTATTAAATTACTCATTACTAGTTCGATTAAATATATCTTAAATTCTAAGACGTGATAAATTGCCGAGTTGATTCAAGTATAATGGATACCTGTAGAACTTAAAGAAAATCTTAAGATCAGAAACTCCAACATGAAGAATCAGCTGCCGCAGCCTTTTAACTTAAACAATAAGATAAATGAAAATAAATTCAGTGACAATTTGATGATTCCTGCTAGGAGATAAAACTATTGAGAAAAGTAAAAGAAACTTAAGAAAGAAGATAAAGAAAATAGAATGTTAATTTAAGGTTATATAAAGATTACACAAAGGCTTAACAGATAGTACCCATTGTTCTTAATCTTATAAAAGCTTGTATAACATTTTGGTCACACAAAACTCACTGAAGATCACCTGATCAAATGCTAAATCTAAATTGGATAAAAGAAATAATGGATACAAATTTAAAACTAAAGTTATGGACATCATTATTTCAACTTTAATAGATCAGAATTTTACAAAATTTAGACTATTAGAACCGTTAAATCTCAAGGATCATAATGACATGTATTTCATTCAAATTGAACCATTTTTTTTTAAAGATGTAGTAATGCTTTTATTTATTAAGTATAATCAATTTCAGTAAAAGTATACATGAAAATTCTCTAAAGAGATACATAAGTAGAAAAATAAAAAAAGCTGCCTAATAAAATAAAAAGTTCAGAACCTAAATTTTACCAGACCAACTGGTTGTTCCGTTAGATTCTGGTAATAATCATTAGTAGAATTACCATTGCCACCTAACTAATAGAAAATAAATGTATGATAAATAGTTATTACTACGTGAGGAAGAGTGACCAACGATGACTATAAATGTAAGAATTTTTGATTACAGATAAATAATCATGCTATGGATAATTAAACTGGAATGGGATGTTAGTAAAACTATTTCTGAAAAAATGATTAGAGGAAATGTACACTCCCTTTTCTTTGCTATATTGTGAAATATTTGAAAAGTGCTCTTTAATAAATGTTAGTTCACATCTTGATTTTCACACAATATCATAAGTTTGATCAAAAAGAAAATCATAAAAGGGGAGAATAGTATGGTAGTTGTAATGGTAGAAGAGTTTGTAAAAGAATCAATAAGCTTTGGAAAAGAAAAAAAAACTATGCCTTTGATAAAATCTATAATAGTAATATTGTAGGGGTCAGCTTTTAATGCCTAAAAGGAATGAGAAGAAAGAAGAAGAGCTAAGATTTCAGTAGGGAAACCTGATCGAGAAGTGTGAATAAAAAGTTGTATTTTTAAATGGGATAACATATTAGTAATAATAGTTTTCATTAGTGGTATAACTGTAAGGCATAACCATAAATGATTGAAAGTTTCGTTTGATATATTGCATCTATAACATTTCCAAGTATTGTCATATATAGAGGGTTGGACTGCTTTTAAGAATTCTAATGTAGGTAACTGTTCTGATAGGAATTTTTATCTTCTACAATGTGTTCTTGATTCTTTAAATGAGGTTATTATGGGAGAACCTAGTTTAGTGAGATGAAAGGTTAAATGGTAGTTAATTTCCAAATTTGTGTATTTCTTGTTTCGTTTCAAAGAGTAAAAATCAATAAAGTGTTTTGATTATGAGAAGTCTTTAATTAGAGAACAGAAGGCTATATTAATAGGCATATTCTCGAAAAGGGAATGTATTGAAAGTATGGAATGTGATCAAGGGTGAAGAAGAGGAGAACAAAATGTAAAGAAGATTTAGCTAATTGATCAACTTTGTTATTATACAGGTCATCAGAATGCACAATAACCTTGGTAAGGGATAGTGTAATATTTCTTTTTTCTAGTATTTTAAAGATAATGGACTAATAAATATTGAAAGGAAGTTTTAACATCAAGGAAGGATACATGAAAACATATTGTCATTGGATTTTGTTAAAGGAGTGAATAAGGGACAAACTATCTATATATATATTCAAATCTAGGTTATAGGGACAAATAAAAAGAATTAGAAGCAATGCAAAATTTCAGCATTGGTAGAGTTTGACTAGTAATTGGGTATTGCAGTGGAAAATTCTATGTTTAAATTATCATAAACTAAAAGAAAAGCAGAACTGAGGTAAGAAACAGGATCAGTATGATCAGGTAAAAATCTATGTGAACCATCTGTATAGAATGTCAAGGTTTGCTCATATTTTAATCTATCTTTGAAAGTATTAAGTACCGTACATGTAACTGATGAAGTAAAAAAGGTGTCTATAGTAACATATGCAAAGATATTGAGCAATAATCTATGAGGAATAAGCGGATCAGGACGAACTCTTTTATAATATTTAATAGTTTGATTAGATACTGCTTTTATATTCTTCTTCAAAAGATAAAACTTTTCAGAATTGACCGAAGAAAAATAGGTAACATTAATGATTTGAGGTAGGTCAATTTCAATAAGATTTCCATATTTAATTAACCTAGATGTGTAAGAATGGATAGTACTATAGTCAATATTAAAAGGGTAGCCAGAACATTTGACAAAAGTATTTTGTTTTTTTGATGGGGATCTAGGATCATTAGTATAGTTCTTTGATATGTAATGTTAGAATATAATTTTGTCTTGTAATTTTTTGTTCTTATAAGATTTTCTGAATATAATTTGACCAAGGTAAGGCAAATTGTAGTAGTTAAAATCTGGAGGAGTTCAAAGTGACGTCCAGTCGACCATTAAAGTTAAATCCAGTGGAGAAAATGATTTATATCCTGTTGGGGCTAAAATTATTTATAATATATCAGTCTATGAGTCTGTTTAAATGCACAGGATTATTAAGAACCAAATATTATAGGAGCGTGAACCATTTTAGATTCATATTTCCAAGATGATTATCCAGGTTTTATTTGAGAGAAAGGTCCTTCAATTCTATCAAGAAATGACCATCACTGATTAATTAGTCTAGGAAGAGTAACTGTTTGGTTTTAAATAAGCTATTCCAATTTTTCTCTAAGGTAAGAGTGATTGAAGTGGAGTATTTCCTTCTTTAATTTTAAATATTGTTGAACTGTTTACTGTTCTGCGAAAAGAAAATGAGCCTTATAAATAAATGAAATAATGTTTCTCATGAAGTTATCATGTCTAACGTTGTTAAGTTGTTAAGGCTAATACGTTAAAGGATCATTGTATAGCCAAAAATATTCTTGGGGCTATTTCAGTCTAATGTTAGCAATCATAGTGAGTAGTGAGGTTTTTGGATTTCCATTAATCATAATGGCAAAGTGTTGTAATTTGAATTGAATCATAAGGTCAGACAGGTCATTGAATCTAAAGAAAAGGCTACTGAATAGAATGCTGTTAGGTGTTGATTTTGGAAAATGGAGTTTATTTTTTATGAATGATCTGAGTTTAATGAACAGTAAACTACATTCATTGTTAGAGAGGATAATAAGTTTGGTTCTGTATTCTAGTTGAGAAATAAGTACTATGTTATAGATATACTTGAGTTGTTTGTCAGTTAAGGGTTTGTATTTCAATTTGAGTATAAAATCTGATATCTCATTTGCCAGTTGTTGTTTAATAAAATTTGTTGTAAGAGGCGGATATCCATACACCCAAATATCTTGTCGATTCAGAAGACAATTTGTTGGAAAAATGACATGTGTATTGAGATAATTACTGTAAATAGAAATATTAACTATTGTAGACTCAGATGTAATGATAAAGGATTTATTATGGTTCACTTTCATGAAATTAAGGTCAAAAAAGGATTGAGCCAGATCAAAAATTAATGTGAGTTTTTCAACGCTATCAGAGATCCAAATTGTATCGTCCATGTATGCTGAATTTAGGATTAAAACAGATAGTTCATTGATTTCATTATCAGTTATGACCAGTTTTTATTTAATACTCATATTATATCCATAATTAAGTTGTTAAATTCTTGATAGAAGGGGATCATAATAAATAATCCATAAAAGTGGGGAAATCACTTCACCTTAGTCAATACCAACTATCATGTTATAAGGATCAGTATTACCATAAGCTGTAAAGACTTAGTTACTTCTGTTAAGAAAGAGATTAGTGATTATATTAATAAAAGAAGGAGGGATACGCAGACATGCTATAGCCTTTCTGAGCATAAAGATATTAACACGTTCATAAGCTTTGAATATATCTTAAAAAAGCATATATAAATTATTTCAATTTTGATATTGTAATTTTTTGTTAAGACAATGAAATTCAAGAATATTATTTACAATATAAAGTGGTTCGAGAGTTGATTGATGAGGTAATCCTGCAAAATTGAGATCTTTGATAATATTATGTTTGATAAATGTATCTTGGAGATGTTGATTCAGGAGTTTAACAAATGCTTTTCTAACAGTATCTAATAAAGTAATTGGTCTAGTGTTGTCGAGGTCATAATTCCATAGTTTAGGTTTAGGGATAGGATATATATATGCTAAATTCCACTGGAAAGGTATATTTGAGCTGATTAAACAATCACAAATAATATTATACAGAAAGTTATTTATTTTAGGGCTGAGCTTTTTTAACATTTCATTAGAAATTTGCGAAGGATCAGCAGCTTTATATTCAGGAAGATGTTTAATAATGGTATACCATTCATCAATTGAAGGAAGTATAATCAGATCATTATAGATGTTACTATCGATATTATCAATTGGATTATAAAAGGGTTGCTAGTCATTTCACGTGGGATTAAAGTCAGAAGTCATGTTGTCAGTAACTTTTCTGTTGCAATAACCTGTTACTGTTTGAAAATGATTAGCTGTATATTTCTTGATATTTTCTGGCGACAATTCTAAGTATTGATCAGAAGAATCTTTATTAATAAGAAGGCGATCTATTATAATAGCTTTTCTGTCTCTTTCTAGATATGAATCAATCATTTTAATTGAAGCATCTTTCAAGTTATCGTGTTTTTGTTTAAGAAATTGTAATATACGTTCGTTGTTTTCTTGTCTAGATATGATTTGTTGTTTTGCTTGAATGGGCTTGATGATATCATGTTTTAATTCGTTTATATACATGACTAATTTCTTATTATCAAAATGATTATCAATTGAAGCGGTTGACAATAAATAATGTTCAGCTATCTTCATGAGGTTTTGATATTCAGTACTTGTAAGCGGAAAAGTTGACAGGTTGTTGTTAGGGTTAGTGTCAAGGAATTTTTTCAATTTGTAATAATATTTATAGAGTGACTTGATATGTTTATGAATGGGAGAGTTAGCATGGGTATATAATGATTTGTGTTAGTGAGTAGTTATTTATTTTGGAATATGTTTTTTTATAGAGGTAATGACAGTATGAGAAAAGAATTCCCAGACAGCATTTAATGAGTTTGGAGAAGTGGCAATATCCTCAATTATGCAATTTGCATAAAGTGGATTTGATTTTAGAAGTAGATCAGCCTTGTCTAAAAAAAGATCTCAGTGTAAAAATGTAGTCTTATGATACATAAATGTTTGTTTTGTGACTTTATGTTGTTTAAGGTATGCGTTAAAATATTGGTTAAAAAAATTTTTTTTATAAATAGTGATAGAAAGGGGTAAATGATTAGAGAAGTATAAAAAGAATGAATCATTGAGAATATTGAAAGATGAAAGATCGTGTGTGAGGTTAAAAGATAGAAATATATAATCTAAGTGTAAGTAATATGAATTTGAGATGGATTTAAAAGTGGCCAGGTATGATAATAAAAAAGGAGAAATAGTGTGAATAAAATCTAGATTAATGATTTGATAAAGATAGTTTTGTAACACTCTTTGGCATTTAGAACGATAATTTTTGAAATGTCAATATTAAAATCTTCCATTAAAATAACATGAAAATTATTTCTGCAACTCTGTATTAATATATCCATAAGTTTGTTTTGAATTTATATTCTATAATTAAAAGATTTTTTGTCTCTATAGGTAGCTGGTAGGTAGACTTGAATAATTTGAAGTTTGAATTTCTTTCTGAATTGAAGGTCAATGTATAGTATTCTATCATAAAATAATCTCTGGTTAAAAATGTTTACATAGATCGTTTTTAATAATTAGTCCTACTTCTTGGCAGTTAAAGTCTCTATTTGCACTATGAAAGAAAATTTTGTACTGTTTGTTATAACTATTTTTTGTTGAGAAAACAAGCTTGATTTTATGTAAGATGAGTTTCACTAAGTTTCATTATGTCAAAATTTAAGTTTGTAAAAAAGGTTTCTATTTGTTATAACTTATTATCAGCAGAACAGTTTCTAATATTATGGGTAACAATGGATAAAAAATTTGGATTATTATGTAACAAAGAGGAAGAGGCATTTGTATTAAAATTACTATTATTAGTAGGATACGACGAAATCATTTCTATGATATTATATGATTTATTATTATTAATCATTGGGATGAGTTAATTATAGGTAAAGCTTGACGTAATGCTAATGAGATTGATTTGAATTCAGATCTGAGATTACCAAGTTCATTTTCAACCTGTGTTATATGTGGAATAGCAATTTCATCTTTTTGTAGTGTTTCAATATTATCAATATTTGTGTCTTTAACGGTATCTTTAGGTGTGTTTCCTATCAAGGGTTGTTTATCATTTGTGAGTGTATTTTTAGGTGTATGTTGGATTTGTTTGTCAACTATATCCATTAATAGTTCTTCATCATCATCATCAGAAATCTGGGTAAATATTTTAAGTTTAGAAAGACGGTAGTCAATGTCGCCTTGATTATGATGTTGTTGGAGAACTTCATTTTTGATAGAAATAATTTTATCAGAAAGGAGTACAAGTTTGTTGTCAATGTCATCTATCCTGGCTATTAAAGAATGAAGAGCGTCAACTGTATTAGAAGAAATATTAGAGTTTCTGTTGGTATTTCCTTTGAGAGGTGATGATGTATTATTAATATTTGGCTTGGATTTGATAAGCGTCAACATAAGAGAGATTGTTCTGAATTTTTGAATTTTGACGAGAACAAGAAGGTCTATATTGTTCAGGTTTAAAACATTTATAAAGAGGCTTATAAGAATTAGCAGGGCCTCTTTTAGAGCAATCTTTGATTTCATGATCAGGTGATTCACATTTCTACAATGTTTATCAACAGAGTCCATCCAGTATAAAACATTTCCTTTAAATTTATGATATTGAGCGGCAGCAGTATCTAAATCTTCTGTGGTAGCAAAATTAACAAATGCATAAGATCTTAATCAGTATTGTTAATCTCTTGGAATAAAGCATGATTTAGCTTTAATTTGAGTTAAAAATTCTTGTAAGGAACGTTAATCAGTGTTTAATGAAAGTTCAGTAAGTTTAAGCTCAAATTGTTGACGTAATGTGATTTGCATGAGATTAAGGTCAGTAGGTTCTATTCTTAAAGCGAATTCTAAAAAGGAAACAGACCAAGTATCATTATAAATTAATTGATAGTGTCATTATTTTTGTATACAATAAATGCAATCTGCCAGGGATCCCTGACAATCATGAAAAAATGAGTGATCATTTCAAATTTGGCAAAGAAATTTCATATGACTCTAGACAAAAAAAGGGGGATGTCTGACTTTGATGATACGACCTTTTTCTGCATCTAATTTTAGTTGTTTAGCATTAGGATCAGTGATTAGGAAGACCAGATTATGTTATGTCTCCTATACTTTTGTAACAGCATGTGTTAAGTTTTTTAAACTGTCAAAATAAATGATAAATTTTCTATTTTTAGAAAAATAGTTTGATCCTTGGAAACCATTAAAGTGAATAAAAAGTGCATTAATAAAATTTCATTTTTTAGCGACAGATTTTTCTTTTATATCTGCCACGTTATCAGTGGCATAAAATCTAGTAGGCGTAGTAATAATATTGAATTATCGATCATTCGCGTTCTTGCCATTAGAAGTAGAAGTTTCAGCTTCGTCCATTTCATCTGACCAAGTTTATTTGTTTTTCCCTTTTGAAGTAAAAGAAGTTTTTGTTGATTTTGATTTGTCAGTGTTATTTGTTTGTTTTGCATGCATAGAGTCTTTTGTAATTTGAAGAGAAATATTTTGTATTTTTTCTGTAGAGTTAAAAGTCGAGGAAGTAACGTTATCTATTTTCATGTCAAAGTAGTTGTATTATCTTTTTCAGTGTTGAAAAGTATTTGATTATTATTGTCAGTAGATAGGATAATATTTTTAATAACTTCGTTAATAACTTTTGAAAAAAAAATTTCCATAGTTTTAGTAGTTATTTTTTGTTTTTTATTGTTTACCAAAGGAATTTCTAATAAAGTTTATTCATTTATTTCTACGAGAGAGCTAGTAAAATATCCAGCACTGTCTTTTTGTTGGATTCTTTTATTATTTTTTAGAACGTAAGAAGTGTTTTTGATATAATTATTTACTCTGGTTTCTGGCATGATAGTTATAGGTGAGAGTTAGTATCGATCCTATATTCAAATCAAACCACTAGATAGCGAGATAATTGAAGAAATATTACTTTATTTTATTGTTATATTTTATAGTAATTTTATTAGACTTTTATGAATTAATAGACATTATTTTAGTTTTAGTTTTTGAGTGATTTTGGAAAAAGGTTTCCACTGAGCTAAGCAAAAGTAAGAGCTTTAGGTTTTTTCACTCATCCCGTAGAAAAATGAGAGAGATTGAATAAAAGTTTTGAATAGCAAATGATTGCAAATACCAGATACTGGTAGAAGGAAAAATACCTTAAGGTTTTAAAGTCTGAGAAGTAGAATCATTCTGCTAAAGAGTTGGAAAAAGGTTTATCATATAGCCCATAAATAATGTGAAAAAATTAGGATACCTCAGATGGTAAGATATTCTGCCAAAGGATTCCATAAAGAAATAGACTATGAATTTTATAGGTTTATTAATGACTTTAGTATTTTAGAAATTCTATTCAAAGAAAAGATTTTTAATCACGTAAAATGATGATATTTGACAAATTATGATAAGAATATAAGAAAAATTTTATTGAATTAATAACAATCACGTGACATCAGAAAAGGATTACAAGAGTAAAAGCGAAAGTGTTAATAATGTGATTGGCAACTCTTGAAATAATATTGAACAATTTTTTTTTTAAAAATAACAAAACGTAACAATGTGCAAAAATTTTATTGAATAATCTGAGAAATACAAATTTTGAGATACATAAAATGAGAAAAAACAGAAAACAAGAAAAGTTAACATAAAAGATTAGGAATTTGTTAATATCTTGAATTCTACTTTCTAGATGATTTACTTCTCAAAGGATGAGTAACTTTTCTATACGCTTCTTCAAGTGAACGAATCCTATTCTCTTGATGAATTAAAAGGAAAAAAATACTAGTTAATTTATTTTTTAAACGTTCACATTCAACAGAAAGTTCAGCATTTTGATTTGAAGAAATAGATAATTGTTCTTTTAATGCAAAGTTTTCTTAATGAATTTCTTAAACTTCTTGACGAAATCCTGTAGTCTGAATAGAGGAAGAGCGTACATTAGAAATATGAAGTTAAGCATCTTCAACCAGTAAATACCAGTTCACGCAAAAGTTAGCTTAATGAATCTAATGATATTTCAAATGGCTACATATTGATATAGGATAATAGAGGCTGTAATAACCAGTTCTAAGCAAGGAAAACTTACGTTTTGAAAATCTATAGTACAGTAGAGGAAAGAAGGCAAAAAATGTTAATATGCTACAATTATATTAAATGAAATTGAATATATTGTCATACTCCTCAGACGAGAGATGAGTTGTATATATCAATCTATCAGGATAAGCTCATAAGAGATGCATTCTATATAGTTTCAATCATCGTGTCTGATCGTATTCTTAAGTATATCCATCTTACCTTAAAAAACTCTTTTGCTATGATAATTTCTTTGACAAACTAAAGCTTTACAACGAGTGAAAGTAGACTTCTTCTTGTTTACTTGAATTATAATAAAATTAAAAATATTTTAAGGAAATTAAAATTTCGCAATAATTTTAGAAAGAAAGTGAAAAATTTGTAGAAAATAGGAAGAATTCTTGGATGAATATTTATAATCAAAAGAAGCTATAAAAATTTTCAAGACCATAAGAATTATTTTCTTGCAGAAAAATAAACAAAAACCTATTGGATCATATTGAATGATGATCAGCATGAAAATCTATAGAATAAAAACCTGTTTAAAATTGGCGTAGTTGATCAGCATTACCAAATTAGATGATCACGTAATATTTATATAGCACATTTTTGATCAATATTTCTTTATTTAATATAAAATTTAGAAAATTTTCGTAAGTTGCATAATTTTAAAAGTTCGACAAAATGCATGCATGAAAATCAAAGAATATGAAAATGTTAGTTTTTCTGAAAAAGAAACTACTTGCAATATTTATGTAATTAATGTATTAAGAAAAGTTAAATGATATAATCAGTTGATCGAAAATTAATTTTAGATTTGTGTTAAACAATTTTCTTGTGGTAGATTTCTTAAATATTAGATTTTAATGAACTTTCTGGATATAGAAAAAGATTAAACATATCATGAATGAAGATCAGATTAATGTATTAAGCCACCAAGTATATAATTTTATTTACAAATATATAATCCAGTCACAATTACTAGTCTAATCTAGCAAACTACTAGTAAAGAAAAATTCTAAGAAAAAGATCAAGTAAAAATAAAAATCTCAACACCATCCAGACCACCCAACTGAAGTTAACACTTGATCTTCCTACAAATCTTTGTAAAATAATCACTGCTTCAGAAACACCTCTTTTTGACGAAAGTTTTCAGCTTCTAATATATTTATTTTTTATCGCAATGGTTCTTCGTGAGTATTTTGATCAGCTACAAGATATGCTAGTCTGTCTGCTATAAGCAACCTCTTTCTTTCTTCTTCTTGTGCTTGAGTTTGCAAGTCTGCAAACTGTTCATGAACTTTATTTTTTTGTTGTAAATGAAAAGTTCTCATACGTTCAACACTTTTTTGAAGATTATTTTTGGAATAATTATTAGAAGGTATTTTATTTAAAAAATTTGAAGATTTGAAGATTTAGATTTTGAATAATTGAATCAACACATATAGAAGTTATATTTAAGAAAAATAATTTATCACATGACTTTAGAAGATCCTTCAAATTAAATTATTTATATAAAATTTTGAATCCTATAATTCTAAAAATCAACAAATTTTAGTCTTATATAACGTTAAAAGAACTTATATTTGTAAGATTGATTGCGGATAGCATAAATACGGCATGCTCCTTTCTAGTAGGTCATGCATGAATATAGCATGTATTTTGCAAATTCTTTTTGATAAATTTTTAAAAAAATTTAATTTTGAGGATAAAATTATTTCTCAATACAACGTTCAAAATTAAGTAAAAGGAGGATTGTCAGCATTGAAAATTTGCCCTAGAAAAATGATTTACAAAGCCATTAGATTTAATTTTATGTAGATCATATTAAGAAAGATCTTAATTAATGTATTGCATTGAAAAATCATTTAATTTGGAGGATTTACAAAATTTACCTGATTCACCTGTTTTTCTTGTATTTTTTAAACAGTCTGTTTATTCTGTTTACTCTATTTCATCTGTAATTTCTTTAAATTCTATAATTTATTTTATTTCTTTTTATTATTTTTATAATTTATATTATTTTTATTATTTTATTATATTTAAGTATAT